CCCTCCTCCCGGCACTCCGGCCGGTCGGGGAGAGTGGGGCCGCGGCCGGGCTCGCCGCCCTCCTCCCGGCACTCCGGCCGGTCGGGGAGAGTGGGGCCGCGGCCGGGCTCTCCGCCCTCCTCCCGGCACTCCGGCCGGCCGGGGAGAGCGGGGCCGCGGTGCGGCCCTCCTCCTGGCGCTCCCCCGCCGGGGGCCGGCGGGAGGCTTTTTTTGCCTGGGGCGGCAAAAAAAGCCAGAGCCGGCCCTGGCTCCCAGACAATGGGAGCTGTGGAGCGGGCGCTCAGGGCGGGGGCAGTGCGCGGAACCCGCCTGGCCACGTCTCTGCCTAGGAGCCAAGGGACATGTCACTGCTTCTGGGGAGCCGCATGGAACTGCGTAGGAAGCTTCCCAGCCTCGCCAACCCCCCCCGAGCACCCACAGGTCCTCAGGCCGGGCCCCCCCCCAGTACCCACTGCCCCAGCTGCATTTCTCTCCCCGCCCCCCAAGCACCCGCAGTACCTCCCGGGCTGTGCCCTCCCCCCCGAGCACCTGCAGCATTTCACCCCTCCCCACCGCCAGAGTACCCAAGTTTTAGTTAGCCATATATAGTCATGGACAGGTCACAGGCCGTGAATTTTTGTTTACTGCTCGTGACCTGTCCATGACTTTTGCTAAAAATACCCATGACTAAAACATAGCCTTATTCATAATTATTAAACCTGGAAAGGTTGCTGCTCCAAACAATTCACAGCTAATATGATAAATATCAAGAAACCATCACCTAAGTTTCACCAGTCACTCAGAAATGACTTCAGTCTATTACTTACAGTAATTCTCAGTAATACTGAAGTGCTTTTTCTAGATTTGATCCTCATCTTGAATGCCAAAGAAATCTCAGAATTTCAAAGAGAGTATTCACAACAACCTGCAAATCTCAATCCTGCATGGTGTTGAGTGCTCTAACGTCAACGGAAGTTGGTGGTGCTACACATATGAAAATGTGATTATTATTGCAAGAGTGAAGTCAAGCATTCTTACTAAGGTATGGGTAAACTTAAGATGTGTAAAAAATGAAGGCACATGAGTACTAAACAATTATTTCTAACCTGCGCTTATCTACAGCTTTTTTTTCCCCCCTCGCCTGAATGAGAAATATACATTTGACAAGCTCAGAAACAAAATAGTCTCAAAACAGACTGCATGTGTCACTACATCAAGACCCAATACTTCAAGCTGACATCCTGTGGTCATTGAGGCAACTGCCCCATTTTCATTTGTAAGCAACTTCTTCTTCTGCATTACAGCAGCTGTTCAGGGGCTAATCTTAAAAACTGCTAGTGCAAACATTTATTTAGTATCTTGCTGCGGTAGCTTCCTTCAGACAAATAAAGAACCAAGATTCTTTATCCAGTAGATCAAATAGAAAAAAAGAAACTATTACAGACCACGGTGGAAAGGAAGAAGATTAAATTCTAGGTATGAAATACCAACTTTTGGGGAAAGTGTAATTTGTTCTTTGGAGAAGAGATCACATCATTCTGAATTAGGAAACACACTTCAATCATTATTACACATTACATTAAGCAGAAGCACATGCAATCCACAAAGGGACATATAGTTTCTGCAAAAAACTCCGCTAGATTATCAGTACTTAAAAAGGAAACCAGTGATGGCATTTTCTGCATACAGTACTGGAGAAAAAAGTGGCAAACGCAAATAAGAGGAGAAGGCAGCAGACAAACAGTGGCACCATCCTTTATATTCACAGAATCATGACAACAGCATATAAGAGACTCTTTAGATTGGAAAAAAGTCTGACCAGATTTTAAATTCCCCTCACAAAGCACAATATTATGCAGGTGCAACTGATTAAAGAGACATTGTCACCCAAGCATTGTAAAACAGAACCCAAAAGCAAGACTCAATCTAAACAAGTGACACTGATTGTATTGATTTCCTTTATACAAACAAACAAATATAAGAAATAAAGTGAGCATTAACAGCACCAGGCAAACAGGATTTTTAAAGCTTTTTACTACCAGTGATAGATGTTCTTAGTATAATAAGGAATACATGCATTTTTGATGCATGAGGCTGGTGGATGAGAACAAGGAGATGAGTAGTTGCTTGAAGGGGAAAGGGTGGGAAACCCGAACCAGACCTCAGTTGTGGAGAGACATTTATACCAAGGGATGCTAAATGGGAGAAGAGCCAAGGCAGGGGCAACCCTGGTGTTTGCGGGGAAGGTGTCTCACTCACATAAGAGGGCAATGGGTGTGTAAGCAGTGCTTGATGGATGTAGCTAGACCTGGTGCCATGAGCGGTCCTGGAGACAGGCTCATGAAAAAGGTGATACAGGAGACTAGACCACCAGACCATGCTCTGGGATGGGGGGAGAGAAGGAGACAGAACGAGGGGGGAGGGGAGAGGAACCAGGCCTGGGTCCCAAAAGTCACTCACACACAAGGGTGTTAGGAGGGGACAGGGCATCTGGGTCCCCGAAACCACACATAGCGGGGGTTGGTGGCGGCGGGGAGGTTGCCGGGGGGCCCGGTGGGGGGGGCGTTGGAGGGGGTTACCAGGGAGGTCGGTGTAGTGACTTAAATGGCCGTAACCGCTACGGGTAGGAAAATTGGACGGCTGCCGTTTTTGCCATTACACCGGGGCCGGAGGGGGGAGGGGTTTATGCCAGAGAGGCCAGGCCCTGAGGAGGAAGAGGTCGCGGAGCCAGGCCCGGGGGGGGGGGGGTCACTCACGCATGAGGGTGCTGAAGGCCACGACGCCCAGGAGCCCCTGCAGGAAGATGCCGAAGCTGTCCATGAGGGCCCCGTTCTCGCAGCCCCGGTAGCCGTCCCCGGGCCCGGCCCCCGAGGACACGGCGGGGCGGCTACTGTTGGCGGAGACCAAAGCGAGCGGTCCCCCCATAGCGAGGCACCCCGACGCGCGCCGGCCTCAGGGACGCATGACACCGACCGAGCGCCCCGCGGGCGCCTCGCGCTTCCGGTGCGGGGCCCCCACCAACTCCCCTCTTCGCGCGGTGCGTCACCACCGACGTGTGACATAACAACCCGCCCCGGATTGGTGGAGGCCGCACCTGAGGGGAGGAGCCAACCGGAAGACCAGTCGGGGGCGGGGCTTAGCAGCCCTTTAACACGGGGATGCAGAGGTGAAGATAGGGGGCAACAGAATGGTTCAAGCGCAGGTGGGGCGGGGAGCGCAGCTGCTGCTGCTGCTGCCTGGAACCGGCTCCTCGCGGGTACAGGTGAGCACAACCCGGGGGCTCAGCTGCCGCCTTTTCCCTTCATCGGGCCCGAGCCGCCCCATGTGCAGCGGGCGGGGAGTCTTCCTGCTCCGCGCTGTACCGGCAGCGGGAGGAAAGCGAGAGGCGCCCCCCACACCCTTCGCACATGGGGGGATTTGTACGATCTGCCCAGCGGGGGAAATTCTGCGAACACGTCACCGCAAAGCGAACTACCCCGCGGAAGGGAATCCCTTCGCCACGCCACGCGTCCGCCCAGGCCTGGGAAACCCAGCTCACGGTCTCAGCTTTAACTGATAGGCGCGGCACCATTAAACACATGAAAAATTTGTATTAAAGAAACCGCCTCCATCATTTAGTTATGAAGGGTTCGCTGTCAAACCGGGAGGGTGTATTCCCATTCCGTGGGGTTCTGCCAGGAGGGGTTCAACATTTTCATTAGCAAATTAGACAAGAGCAGATGCTTATAAAATGTGTAGGTGACACCACGCTGTGAGAGGAAGCACCTTCGAGGACACGATTAGACTTTAGCATGATGACCACAAGTTAGAGAATTGGTCTGAAGCCAGGTCTGAAATGGAAAGCCAGGGTTACAATTGTGTAGGAATCACAACTTTTGAATTTCTTGACTTGTTTGACAGCTCACCCTATACCATTTTAATGAGCAAGGAACAGAGAAGGGGAGATGGAGGTACTATTGAGGTCTAACCTTAGGAATTAAATATAAACACAACTTTTGGTTGATGAATTTATATAGAGAATATATCATGATTAAGGCTACATTTTAGTCACAGGTATTTTTAGCAGATACCTTAGCACAGACAGGCCACGGGCAGTAAACAAAAATTCACGGCCCGTGACCTGTCCATGACTTTTACTAAAAATACCCATGAATAAAACTTGGGTGGGGCTGCCCGGGGGCTCAGTGCATGCTGAGGGAGGGCGGCCCAGATGCTGAGGGTGGGGAGACGGGTAGCAGTGTGTGGCCTGGGACCCTTGCTGGTGCTGAAGGGAGGATGAGTTGGCAGGCTCCCTATCTGGCTCCACACCTGCCCCCCAGCTGCAGTAGAATTTGGGTGTGGGAGAGGGCAGGGGCATGGGATGGGGTGAGACAGGCTCTGAGCAGTGCTTACCGGGGGGCTCCCCAGAAGTGGCATGGCGACATCCTCCTCGCTCAGCTGGTAGGCAGAGGCTTAGCCAGGCTGCTCTGTGTGCTGCCTCCGCCTGCAGGCACCGCCCCCACTGGCCACTGTAATATTGTTTTCCATGCTTTCTACACGTGACGGGACCAGCTAGAGAAACCCCACAGCATGAGGCAGGATTACAATCAGACACTATACATGCAAATCTATTAATATTATGGTAGGACCTATAAGCCTTATTCAGGATTGGTACTTCATTGTGCCTGGACCTGTACAGCCTGTAAGATACTGTCCCTGATATAAACTGGCATAGCTCCATTGACTCCAATGAAGCCATAGCAGCTAAAGGTCTGGCTCATTCTATTTTGCTCAAAACTAAGTTTGGAAAATGTATCATGTGATAGTGATGGTATGTTATCACTTAACTTCAATAAGCCAAAACTCCTATTGAACTCAATGGAAATTGGGCCACTCTAAAGACTAAGAAAAACAGGATGAGGACTTGAGAATATGCGTAAGGGTTTTGGAGCATTTTTAGCAGCCACTTACTGCACTGTACTTACCCAAGATATTTCCATAATAATAAATTATTTAAATGAGTATATTGAAAAAAAGATTTAAGTTTGCAGATGAAAAACTGGATTCTTAGCAAATGAAGTAGGGTCAAGCCAGGTCAAAAGATTACTGATTAGACCAGCAGGTGGCAAAAGTAGATCAGTAGATGTGAGTGTTAGACTGTAAGTACTCTGAATAGGAAGCTATCCAAGTAAACATGATCAGTGTTGGCCCTAATCCCGAGGCATATTTAAGCACATGCCTAACTAAATAGGCGAGTAGTCCCCTAAAGTACACGGCCTTATTTAGGCTTTGATTCATCAATTGCCCAGCATGTTGATTTGTGGATTGGGGAAAAATTATTAAAAATACTGAGTGCATTGCACAAACATCTGCAGTTAGAAGGCAGGCAACAAATTAGACTGTAGATGACACCATCACCTTATAGCTTACTGTCCCTCCTTTAAAAATTCAGATGTGTATGTTGAACCTAATCTCCATATTCAAATAGTATTTTTTTAAAGCTATGGCTGAATTTGTACAGACAATATTTAACTGAGTTTTGAGGACATTGCCAGAAGCAGAAGAAATAAAATATTCTTAATCCATTTGTTTAAGACTTTTCTGAAACAAAACAAAAACCCCAAACAAAAAAATAAATACAACCGTAGAGTAAAATTGTGCACATTTGGGCTGTTTTTACCAATTTGTCTAATAACTTTTGAAAATTTAGGATGACTGTGACATTGATTAAAATATAACCACTGTTATATAATTGTGTAAGATTTGTTACAAAGTATAACTCATGGCCAGAAAGGGTTAAACAGCTTGCAGGCTAACTAACCCAAAGCTGATCTTTAAAGACATGTTAGAAATGTTAATTAGGGCCGTTGCATGCTAAATAGGCTTGCATTTCAAAGTTCTAGCCTAAGTTGTTAGAAATTAGAGGTAATATTAATTGTGTGCATCTAAGATGCTACCCATGTAAATGGACAGTTCCTGTCTATCACTGTAGCTACTAAGTCAGAGATCAAAAGGGAATATTAACATTTAGATGAATCTTGGGTGAAATAATATTGTTGTCTATATGTCTCTGAAGTTTGTGATAGACTGCCTAATGGATAAATTGCCCTATGTTAATTTGGTTAACTAATTACTGGTGGTGTTTAGGAAGCAGATGGTTACATCAAAAGCCTATTGTTTACCAAGGACTATGCGGTCAAGTGGATTCTAGAACACTGTATAAAAGATGGTTGGGTCCGGATTCTGTTATCTCAGATCTGCTTAAGCTTCATCAGGGGAAGTTTAAGTCGCAAGATTGAGGTCCCAGTTATGCTGGTACTCCCTGAAGGTGATACTGGACATTAGACTATAACCTATGAACTAAATTCTAAAATAACTCTTTGCTACTACAAAGCTCACCATCTCTGCTATGTATCTGAACCTCAAGAATTAAACTCATGTCTGTATGTATATTGATTTTTTGACCACTCTCTCTCTTTTCTTTTTTAATAAATTTTAGTTTAATTACTAAGAATTGGCTGTAGCGTGTATTTGGGTAAGACCTGGAATATTTATTTACCTGGGAGGTATGTGTCCGATCCTTTGGGAGTGGTAGAACCTTTTTCTTTTATATGATGAAATAAGATTTTCAGAAATCTTCATCATATTTGACCTGGATACCTGGATGGAGGCTTGAGGCTGGGTACTTTAAGGGATCTGTGTTATTAACTTCTGAATAACCAGTGAGGTAATAAAGAAGCTGTTTTTTTTTTTTGCTGGCTTGGTAAATTTAAGTATTGAATTATCCACCAGCTTTGGGGTCTGTCTGCCCCATTCTTTGCAATTCACCCTAATTGAGTGACCTCAGCTGGCCCAGTGACCCACTGGGACCTGTCACAGTGACAATTATGGACACATTTCCCACATAGCTTCTATACTTAAGTAATGCAGAATCTTTTTATCAGAAATATTCAGTTCCACATAGCATATGAACTGAGCACTTAAAACATGAAGTTCTTTCCCTGCTTCACTACACAAGGACAGCACGAAGATACTGAAGCAGGGCTGACAACAGAATCCTTATTGCTGCTCAAGTATCTGGATAGCAGTTCTGTTCTGACTGACAATTGAGTCCATTACACAGCAGTAAATTAAATCGTTTCATCCATACCATATATCAGTACGACAATCATTTCAGCCGAGTTGGCAAAACCTCAAGCATTCACATTTTGTTCTCCATTAGTTTGAAATAATATATACAACCATTAAATAGGAAATTAGAAGAAATTTTCTTTGAAATAGGAATTATTACAACAAGGATATAATTCTATACATTGCCTGAGAGGCAAAGTAAGAGGTGATTCCTGTCCCAATCTATGAAAGACAGGATACCACATAGCATAACAGTTCAAGAGAGAGGATGTGAGGATTATTGGGGAGATGAGCAAACTGGAGAGGATTTTATGGATAAATTTAAAGGCGGTGAGAGGGCTTGGGTGGTAAATGCGGAGATTTTCTTGGGGGCAGCCATGAAGCTGAACCTGGGAGAAAACCAGTAGGTAGGTATGTGATTATGATCTTGTTTTCACTGTAGTGCACTTTTTAATTACTAAGGAGTCGGCTGTTGCATTGTTAGCATTGGATCATCCACTCAACACCTTTCACCAGAACTTAAATACATTTTGAAATGAAGTACCAAATTACAGTATGTTTCTTTTATCCATCCCCTGCACCTGAAAGCAGGGCCGGCTCTAGGATTTTTGCCGCCCCAAGCAAAAACAATTTTGGCGCCCCCCCCCCCATTTTTTTTCTTACCCCACCCC